TGCCACCTCTTCAGTGCTTTGAGTATTCCAGTTCTCCTCCCTTCCTGCTCTGAGAGCGCACAGAACTGTTTGAAATCCACTGGTACAATTGTCAAATCAATTATTCATTCTCTGCAATTATGCTCGCACAAAGAACATTTTGCTGGTCTGAATGATGATTAAATTAACAGCTATTCCAGCTGCCTGATAACATCTAATAGAATATTCATAAGCCCAAAATGGAATGAATTATCTCCATTAACTTCATCATGCTCACTTAATTACATGCTTGTTATTGTATTTACACCTTGTTAGATACCGCTGAAGCTGATCCAGTGGCTGGCCGGGAATTGGAAGCGTCTGTCATGGGGCAGTTGGAGCGCGTTTTGTAGGAAATGCTATTTATTTTAAATGCTCCACCTGCTGGGAGCCGAGGTTAGTCAGCAGCACTGAGATGAATTGGGAAACGGGGTGTAAAAAGAAATAATGTGCTTCTGACAGGCTCCGTGGCTTTTAAGTTGCTCTCATTCAGCCACTTCACAAAAAATTATTTTATTCCATCTCTCAGTGATGATGACATGATTGCTTTTGGGTAATCATTTACCATTCTGATTTTATTTTTTGAAGTAAATTGTCTGAAGTAATAGGTTCTTGGAATTACAGCGTGCCTTGCTTTTTTTCTTAGAACTTTATTTAAGCTTGTCTTCCAGCATTTAACCCGAGTCCCCTCTTTCGTTTGATCTTCTAACTTTATTTATACAACAGTGCTTAATGATCCTGCACAATATGGGGGGGTTTCCCCCCTCTCCACACACCCCCAAAAAAATTTCTGTCCAGTATGGTTGACAGTACTTTTTATAACCTCAGCAAGGGGCTGCATGGGCAATTTTCTTTCGACATGACAAATACAAACACCCAAAACCCAAGCCTGATAGAATCACTTCATCCAGTTGAAAGGAAATTTTTGATCTCTTTCAAGGTGACTCTTTCTGCACTGAAACATGGTAAGGGGCACGGCTCTCACCTTCTATTTTTCACTATAGACGTGGCGTTCTTTCCAACAGCTCTCCCTGTCTCTTCCTTTCTCCCATTGCCCCCTGCGTATCCCCAACTTCCCATGGCCGGCCCTCGCTTGAACTTGGGCAGTTTGCTTCTAGTGTGAAGGGTCACGGTTCACCACCACAAGGCTGCTGCAAGCCTGTGTTTATTGAATATGAACCAGCCCAATGGTGGCACGAATCATAATCACACTTCTAAATACTTGTCAGATCAGCCTAGTAGAGCACTTGAGCTAAGCCATGGAGATTTTATTCTGTTTGAAGGCTTTATTTTGATATCAACAAAAAAAGAAGAGAAAAAGAAAACTAAAGACAATTATTTCTAAGTAGGAATGGAGCTGGTGATTGGACTAACAGAGAGACTCTTCAGACTGAGGAAACACGGAGCATCAGAGATGCGATTTAGCGGGGACAGTGGTCCTCTAGGCATACGGGAAGGGAGGTGACATCTAATGCACACTCTCTGTGCCTGGCAGTGTGCCTTGTGAATGTTTTTCTGAATCAGAACTGAATCGGTTTGGGGTTTTATTTCTTCTTTGGATTTAGAAATGTTTCTGGTCTAGGCATTTGAATGGGGCCCCAAACAGCTTTGTCTGAAATCTGGATGTCAGTGGGTCTTGAAGATACCGCAGTTATTGATTGATGTTCAGGAGAAAAGACAGGCCGGAGGATCCATCAGCTCTCTAGTTTGGATGGTTCTAAATCAGAGAGAGGGTACCACTTTACTGCAAAATCCCACAGGCTTCCTGCATTTCTCCCATTATTGGCAAAGCTCAGGTTGCATTGAGGGAGGGAGGCTCCGGATGAGAGAAGGTGGGAGAGCTGAGAACTGTATGGTGGGAAGCCATGCAATTAAAAAACTGACTGAAATTATTACTTGATTTCATAATTGACAGAATATTTAATTCAGATATAGTAAATTGACACACCTCTACACAGAGACAATTATGACTGACTGTATAACACCTGACAGAATCAATTATAACTGACTGTTGTTTGATACCTTTGCACAGAAATAAATGAAACAGACATTCAGAACAGAGACGGCTGCCGCCTGTGTGCCTAAACCTGCCTTAATTAAAATGAAATAACCAGTAGGCGATGTTAAAATGTCTTTGCCTCGTGGTTTCTAGTTCAGTGTGTTTCTTTTTAAGTCCAAAGGGGCTGTGTAAAGAGTCAAGCAGCAGAGAAGGTTTCTGTTTTCCAACACGGAAATAAAGCCTCAAGGGACAGTTCATAGAAGTATACTCCCTTTCCCTCCCCCCCCCCCGAGATACTCCTACCACCATTTCATTTGCTCAGTTGACTTTGAAGTATTTCAGACAAGCTTTGGCTTGAGGATGATGCCCTAGTATCATTGATGGGATGTTGTGGTTTTAGACTCTAACCAAAATTTTTATTTGGTGTTTAACTTTGACTCTTGAAGTAGATTGGGAATAATTAAGATCATGGCTCACATTTTCTCCCATTTTTGTCAGGATAGGGGTTCAGGAAAGAAATATCTTTGCTAATGCACATATCAGAGTAAGAACCAGAGTTAATGAGATGCAGATCCCAGAAGCATGGACTCACTGGGCTGGTTGGTATGCTTCAGTCCATTTGAATCTGTTGCTGACACCCTTGCTTGCCTTGTTGTTGGGTGCCATCAAGTCAACTATTGCTCAGACCATAACTCGTAGAGATCCTATGAACAACAAATCGGAATCCCTCTCTGTCTTTTGCCATCCTCATCATCTGTGACACACTTGAGCCCATTGTTACAGTCGCTGTGACAGTACACCTTGCTGAGGGTCTTCCTGTCTTTTGCTGATCTTTCCTAGTGCAATAGCCTTTTCCAAGGACTGGCCCCTTCTGACAACAGGCCCACAGTATGAGATAACGTTTCCTGCCTGGTGCCTACAAGGTCCGAGTTATTTCATGCTAGGGGCTGAGCTACAGTGGTACCTCTGTGCACCATGGTGGGGTGCATAGTTCCTCAAACCAGTGGCCTGGGGGCTCTGGTGTGTCCCTTGGGTGCATGCTCTGTAGCTCCTTTGCTGACAGAGTCATCTGTCTCCTAAAACCAGAGTAGGGAAAGGGATCGGCCACGTGACTGCTTTCCACCATTTACCGTGTATACTTTTACTTTTCTAAAGTGGTGATTGTGATGTTGCAGGAGGCAGGGTAATGGTTTAACGGAAATGGTTTAGCCTGGGTGGCCTGGGTGCTGAAAGGAGAGTGAGCAAGGCCACAAGGAAAGGATGCCTTCTTCCCCCACCCCACCCCCAACACAGCCTGTGAAAGCTGGTCCAGAGCTGCTTGCTGGAAGACCTTCCATATGTTATTGATTCAGTTCTCATTGGGGAGGCAAGTGTGCACTTTTATCTGCATCTTCAGCTTGCGTGGGATGGGGCCTTGGCCATATTGACCGGCTATGGGATATGCTGGTAGTCGCTGTTGTCTTTCACGGCGAAGAGCACCGAGTGATGCTGGTTGTCATTCTAACTCTGCTGTGTGGCAGCGTAAATAGTCCCCTTTCTAACCAACCTGGTGGGAAAAGTCAATATCCCATCAGCAGAGGAGGTAAACACATCAGGAGCTGTGTCCTCTCTCTTCCTCCCCTGCTCTGTCTTAGCTCCACTCTCTAAATGTGCTCTCCCCAGTTAGCAGATGCATTTGTGTTATTCACATGCTCAGGGTTGCAGGCCTGTGGCTCTGGCCTGCCAGGAGGCAGCACACACGACACGGGTCCGGGCTCTTGCTTTGTATTCCAGGCTCTAATAATTTACAACTTTCAAATTGTCTTTCTCTTGTCAGTTAACCATGAGCTGACTATCTCTCTCTCCTAAGCCTTTCTTTTTCCACCCTTTTTTGGCATTTAAATTCTGTCAAACTTTGTTGTTTTTTGAAAAGCAGTTGATGTGATTGAGAAATGGTTGTGAAGAGCAAATGGGTATGCGTAGTTAAGGAACAAAAATCTGGCAACTGAGTTTTCCCGTTCCTGGTATTCCGTTGTCTTTCTTTCCATGATTGTTAAGCCTCTTTCCTGAACACCATGTTTCCTTCTAGATCTTTCCTCAGTCTCCCTTCAGGCACCTGGGGCCTGAACCAGAGCTGCTTGTGGCCAGCTGATGTCAGGAGACTGAAAATTGTCTGGTTTCCTTTTGGTCTCTGTCCTCAGAGTAGACTTGGGGTTTAGGCTGCTGGGATTCATGTTTCTACACCTCTGCTAACCAGCCACATGACCTCAGACAAGTGGTCAAATCTCCCAGGATCCCAGAACAGCTTTGCACAAAAACATTGTCATCTGGGCAGGGTTTGTCTCATCCAGGGACCAACTTCCCCCACTGTATTCAGACCTGCATTTCACAGCCCTCCTGCTCCCTTAAAAAACATGTAGAGGTACCACTTATAGGGAAGGGGAGAAAGGCTCCTTTCTCAGAATGGGGGACTAGGGACAGACTAGTGGGAGGTGGCGCTGCACACCAAAAGTTAGGAGGTACACCATGTGGGCCAAGAAAGCTGGCAAGTGGGAATGTGCTCCCCAGGCACCTTCAGCAGTGGGGATTTGGGTCACAGTGAAGTGGAGTACACAGGAGGGGCCCAGCTCATGGGTGAGCCTTGGCCAACAGGAGCTGGGGGATCCAGGTGTCCTTTGAGATTTAGCACCCCCGGGGCAGTCACGCTTTGCATGAAATTGCCAGCACATGCTCAAAATGATGTCCGTCCGTCGGGGTGCAGGGTTGTGCACCTGCATTGTGTGTCAGCCGGTGGTGGCTCTGTCCCTGGTTCACAGTCACTGGAGGTGCCAGGCTCAGCTTCCACAGGTGACTCGTGAGTCTGCCCACAGGCACGTGGAGGCCAACTGCCACTTGAGCTGGAAAGGAACGCCACGCCCTTTTCTCAGGTGCTGGAGGAATACTTAATTACCTTTCAAGTTTCCTCCTAGACTGTAATTGTTTTTTTTTTCTCTTTCTTTTTTAGACAAATTGAGGAAGTTTTTAACCAGCAAAGTTCAGCAAGACTACAAAAAACTCAAGAACACAGCAGAGCAGTTTTTGTCTCGAAGTGGCTACTCTGAAGTGAACCTCAGCAAACTCTTCGCTAATTGTGCCGTCAAGTCCTAAGAGAATCGCAGAAGCCAGCAGGGGGGGTGGGGGGGCCACTGGTGTATCTCATTCTATCCCAACACCCCCCTTCCAGTGTCTCATGGGGGGAGGGTAGCCAGGAGGGTTGCAAAGATATTTAATATCCCAGAAATCAGGGGAAACGGGGGAGGGAAGCCAACCACAAGCAGACTTCAGGTTCACAATGTCCTACTTTGAGACACCATCCCAAAGCCTTGGAGAAGCAGCTGCTTCATCTTATGGCCTGGAGTTTTAAGGGTGGGGTCGCTGAAGGGAGGGAAATTGCTACTTTAATCCAGAGTAACTGGAATGTCGGTGACCCCAGATTTAACTCTAGGGTATTTAGAAGAGATGCTTCCAGAAAGAGGAGAGTGGAGCCTGCTAAGAGCAGGAGCATTTTGCCTTTTCACACGCCAATTAAACTCGCTATAAACCCACATACCCCCCTCCCAGCCACTTGCTCTTGTCTAAGTAGAAGGGGAGACCACGAGGCCTTGTATGTACTAAATAGATTAAGCAAAGCCTACTTGTTTGTTGAATTGCCCCAAAGTCCAGCTCAGCACACACATCGAACAGGTGTTTTCCACTCAAATTCCTTTCCCCCCCCACCTTCTTCTCAAGTAGAAAGTTGAGGTAAGGGTCTGTATCATAGGAAAACATGTTTAAAATCCTTTTCTTTCCTCACAGTTCATTCAAAATGTGTAGAGGTTGGGGTGAGGATCACTGTGCCCCTCTCTGGTGTGTTCAGAAAAATGGGAGAGGGGCTGGTTAATTGTCCCTCGTGCCGTTTCTCATATTTCTTCATGATGGAATCCTCTCTGCTGGAAGCAAGATGTATTTCAATATAATATTCTTTCTTACTTTATTGGTAAGATTGTACTAACAAAACCCTTTTGTCCACCTGTGACATATTTTTTATATATTTACCTGTGTTGTTTTTACAAACGCAAAATACACTGCTTTTTACTGAAGAATAAAGTTGTTTACAGGGAAACTGGTCACAGCAACTCCTTGTCAGATGCAAAAGGTTGTCTAGAGATGGCAATAAGGAGTGGTGAATCAAGAGGGGCCAGCCCTTGCCAAAAGCCTCAACCCAGTTTAAAACCCACCTCAGACCACCACCCTGCCCCCAGACTATTTCTCTCCTGACACAGTTGAGGAGCTCAGGGGTGTCTCTTTTTGAAGAACCAGCCCATGGCTCCCAAAAGAAAGGCAGCTGCAGAGAAAGGTCAGCTCTCAGTGACCCAGGAGTAGGAATACTTGTTAAAGCAATGGGGACGAAGCTCCCTTTTATCTTGCTTTGCTTTCTCTTCCCTCTCCCCTCTAGGGTCTGTCCTTTCTTTTCTTTCTCTTATACTCAGTCAGGTTCTAAATAGAAACATTTGGGGCCTAGGGCCCTGCCAGTTAATTCATTAATGCCTTGATAGCTCACACTTGTCAAAAAGTGGGTGCCCCTCTTTGCCTCTGGATATTCAGGGGATTGATGACACAGTCACTTTACTTTCTGAAGAGAAGGCAAATTTTCTTCTGTATCTGGGTTTGTATGAAATATAGATGGAAGAGTACCTTGAATTTGGATATCAGGAGATTCAAAAAAACTTGTCACATTGGTAATCATCTTGTGGGCAGGAAGTATTTCTCTTAAACCTTCCAGAGGTCAGTGTTTTCTTACTCAGCTCTCTAACTCCAGGTTAGTTACCAGGCTTCACCTGGGAGGCATGTAAAAGTTCCAGAATTTTACAGAAAGTTGTAAGTGCAGCCATGATGGGCCATTCCAGTAGAGTTCTACTGGAAGATTGGAACCCACATGCACTTTCCTGAGAACCATTTCCACTCTTGATCTCTTGGCGAACAGCCTGCTCCACTGATCCCAGCTCACGCTCTTGAGCATAACTTTGAACAGTGAAGGAATGAAATGTACTCAAGTGGCCAGGATTGTGGCAAAGGGAGTAGGTAGGTCCTGGCTCAAAGTGGCAGCAGCTACTCAGTGACCCTAGTGAGGGACCAAGCCAGGACAGATCAGTTTTTCAGCAAAACTAGGAATCTGTATTCTTTCTATAGCAATCTTGATTTCTAAACCTTAACAGGGTTTTTTTCCTAATAAAGTTCTTAACACTGTGTAAACCGGGCTAACCCTCTGGATTTTAACCTATGCTTACCCGGAGTCAGTAAAGGGCCCCCCTAAACCCACTCTGTTTAACCCAGGAAGTGGAGTTGGGCCCACCCAGGTGCACATTTTATCCTGGGCACAACTGGCTAACCCTCAACTCTCCTTACTAAACTCGCCTTCCTATCAAGAGGACTAAGGCCATCGAAAACCTGACAACCAGCATGGTCCAGAAGATTGTCACTTGTCCAGAAAACAGACGGAACCTAATCAGCCCACAGTTGCCCAAGACATGGAGCAGAATTCATAGATGGGAATGGGGATAAAAAGATGGTGAAAGAATAAACTCGATGCGCATGCCCTCCCCCTCACCTCCAGCACAAACCCATACTTGATACACTTTTTCCAACTTAACATATAAAATCTGTTTGGCATAGGATGCAGAAAGGTAAGGGCATACCCAAAATAGATTGCCCAATCTAGGTCAGGAATTTATGGGAAAACAAACGACCCCTAGATCTGATGTGCCCAGCCCCATCTTGAAGCCTCCTCTCTTTCCCTTTTGCCCTCTCTCTCTCTCTCTCTTTTTCTCTCACCTAAATATTTCTTAATTGAACGGTTTGTGGTGGAGCTTCCTTATAGCAGTTTAATAGATTAACTCATCTGAACCAGCCTCAAATTTCAGATTAAAATTCCTTCATCCAGAAGGCAGCATTATCAGGTTGTTGGAGGCTGTTTTCAAACCTTGGTTTTGAATAGCAGCGGCTCTGCATTAATTTAACCACTAAGCTAATAAGTAGGTTTCGTTTTGTTATGCTAAGCTTTATTGCTTTTCTTTTGATCAGAATGGTGTTGTTGAGCAAAGCAGCAGACAAGGCATTCTTTGATGAGGGAATTAGCGCTCCATTCTTCCTCTATTATTCATAGCGCAGTGGAATATGTAAGTACCTGAGGGTGTCAAAGGAGCGCAGGTTCTATTGCAAAGTGCTCGCCTTGTTTCTCTCAATAGCTGACTATGAGATGATAAACCGCTTAATACACTGTGCTAATTGGATGAGAGCAAAAAGAGATGGGAATTAAGGCGAGGCAAAAGGAGAAAGTGCAACCAGCCTTCAATTCACTCTTTCACCACTTTAACAGCACCAAAGGAGGCACAAGCTTTCTATAAGCAGACTAGAGGTTTTGTGCAGAGATAAAATGAACGTGTTAGTGGATTCAAGTAATACACTAATTATTGCACAGTATAAATACCACTACTGGTTTTATAACAGGGAGGTAAACTTCTTTTGAGAGGGTTATAGGATTGCTTGGCAGTGGTGTAGAACCTAATAAGGGCCCAGAGTAATAACCCCCTGGATTAACAAAATTGCTGCTTGTACAAGTATGATTCAGGCTTTTACGAAGATTTCCGGAGAATGAATAAAAATGACTGAATGACGTTTCTTAATGTATAACTGGCAATCGCTCCCTTTTCTTTAAAGGGAAAAAATGTATACTCCAAACTGGACCGTTAATAACGTCCAAGAAAAACACAACTTTTTTTTCTTTTGAAAAATGTCCTCCCCCACCCATTTTTCAGGTAGTAAGTTTTCTGTTGCCCGCCCCCCAGTCAGGTTGCCACTTCCAGTTAAGTAAGCACTTTCTCTGGGGCCTCTGTGTTCCAAAATAACCATTTTCGGCCCTGTATAAAACCCCTTCATTCAGACAAACGTGTGTGTGTGTGTGTGTGTGTGTGTGATTTTTTTTTTCTCTCAAAGCAAGTAGGACTTACCCAGGTATAATTTTCTTTGCGCCTACCTCAGTCTCTTCCTCCCCCTTCATTCTAGTAATATCTCTGAACTCAAAAATGACAAAAATAGTTGCATACGTCTTATCTCTCAGTATTATAATGCAAAACCAATAATTGTTTGTCCTGACAAGGGAGAAGGAGAATAATAATAGAAAAGTGAGATGGGACAACTAGTTGGGGCCAGTGTTGGTGACTTCAGCTGGGGCTGCTTGCAGCCCTGAGGTGTCTCAGAATTTCCCTCCAGTGCCCATGCTCCCTAAATCTCCCACTTTCACCTTCTTTAGCACACACCCACGATGTCCACCCTAACAAACTGTTCAGAGTCCAAGCCACAGGGAGTTAGTTGGTGACATAACATTTCTAGTGTCTCCTGATTGTTCCTTTCTCAGTCTGAGGGACCTCTTAATGGTCTGGCTAACCTGTCTGAAAATGGAGCAAATAAACCTGCCCAATCCAGTTAGCCTTCCCATGGGTTCCCTCCGCACCCTCACCCTAAGGTGCTGTGGGGAGGGCTGGGAAAGCCGGCAGTGGGGCATGCAGTCCAGAGTGTGACAGGAGACAGCCATGCCAGAGCTGGGCTTGCCCCAGTTCCCCGGGAGGCTGTATGCATGTCCTTGTCCTTCGTGCAGGAGGTTTGCTCAAGGTTGGGGGGGGAGCGGTGTCAGCCGCTCCCAGCATTGTGACCATGTTCCCAGATATTGGGGCCAAATTGGGTTGCCATTCATTAATAATGCTCACAATAAGATTAAATCATTCTGGAAAATCTCATAAAATCCCCCTAAGTACGCTCCAGTGGCTCTTTCCAATCCCCATCATTCAGCACTTGGGGAGGTTTGGAAGGAGAAGAAAATTGGTTTCTTTGCTTTTAATGCTGCTTTGAAAAGATACTCAGAGTTTGTCATGCGTGACATGTCACATGTTTAATGTGGACTTGCTGGAAGTCAGGGGGTCTTTAGCGTGTGATATTTATGGGGAATATTAAGTGCAGAATGAGGTCCCTCCAGCTGGGGAAAGTTGAAAGAATAGGAGGCCCAGGTCCCAGCTTGTTTGCAGCATCAGAATGACATAGGATTAAGAGTTTGTAAAACAAGGCGAGGGGTTCTCATTGGCCAGTAATAAATGTAATCCTTGGAGGTAATTTCACGCAATTTGCTTCTGCTCCATGGAAGGGTCAAATGAGAAAAAATGACTTAAAAAAGAGTTCATTAACAGGAAGAATGGTACTGTTTCTCGTATACCATCCAACTGGCAGCCTGGAGGAAAAAAGCGCTACTTAAACAAAAAGCCAAAATCGACGGAAAATTGATATTGACCACTTAAAAAAAAAAGTCTTTCCCCTCACTCTCTTGCACTGGCCTGTCCTGTCTCCAAACTCTCGATTGTCCATGCCCACCCCGGAAAAGCAGCCTGGAGGCCCTGAGGAGTCTGGGAGTTGGAAATACTCAGGTCCTGAAGAATGGCTTAGAAACTGGAGAGGTTCCTGCCAGGCCTATTAAAGCCAAAGGAGTGTGTGGTGGGATGGGCCAAGAAAAGTAGACGACAGGCTGGTCCCCCAGGGCCAGGCCTCTACTTGTGAGCACCGCCCCTGCCCATCCAGACCTCTCGGGGACCCACCACATGGCCACCCTCAAAGTAGTGACCCCCAACTCCCACCAGGGCTCCGCCCAAAGGGGTCCAACGAGCAGGGGACCACTAGCGATCTCCAGGCGAGCGGGTGGACCAGCCGACACCACTGGGCGCGCAGGTGGCTCCCGCTGCTCTCGCTCCTTCTCGGGCCGCGTGCACTGGAGCCCGGAGCCCGCCTGCTCGGCATTAAGCCGCCCTGGACCGGCCTGTGGCGCCCGAGTGGCCAGCGGCTTGGCGGGGCGACAACTCCTTGGGCCGCACCCCCTACTTGCCCCTCTCCCCCCAAAGGTCCAGCGCACTAATTGCTGCAAATTGAAACTAATTAAGCTCTCCCCTTTTCCATCACCTTGGGAATGTTGGCGAGACCCAGCCCCCTGGGCAAGCTTCCTCTGAGCAGTAGTCACTCGAGGGGCGCCGGCAGGCCGAGGGGAGGGCAAGTGACCGTTTGCCGCCAAGGTGGGGTCCGCTGGAGGGGACAGAGACGACGAATCAGTATAAGTCTCCTTGCAAAACTTGAGTTTAAATTTTTTTTAAATGTATACATTTCCCAATGCCTGGATAAGTGATGTAATGACATTGTCGAGTTAAGATCTGCCACTTGGATACTCCTCTCTGCCTTTCCATCACTTCTCCTTCTCTCCTCTTCACACACCCCCTCCTCACCGCGAGCGGTAGTACTGTGGAGCCCGCCCCCTCGGAAGCCAGCACCTCAGCTTCTCGCTGTCGCCATTATCTGTCATCTCGGACTGCGCACTTCCTTGCTACATGGCACAAACAGCTTCCTTCCCTTCCCAGTCAAGACTCCCGCTTGCTTCAAATCTGACTCCTCCATCTACCACCTACCTACCCCATCTATTCACAGCCCATTTTTTAATCCGCTCAACCTTCCAAGCACAGGACTCCCAGAGAGCCTAAAGGAATGTGGAACCTCTGGAGGAAGCCCAGATGCCTTGGTAACACCTCAAACCAGGGCCCTCAACCTGGCTTAGACGACAAGGAGCCATTTACCAACAGGGGATCACCCCTGGCCCTCACCTCCCTCCACTGTTCCCTCTGGGCCTGCACGGAGCAGTCACACGTCCTTTTGTTAAACATATACTTTTTTTTTTTATTTTGAGTGTGACACTTCTCCACTAGATAGCAAGGAAAAGTGATAACAAGTACACATTACACAAAAGTACTGTACCATTGCCTTTATCCGGAAGGTTTCAGAAGCCTCTACATGTAGTTAATAAGTTAAATAAAGGGCTTGCGTACATAAATATTTGTCTAGGAACCCTACCGTATCTACAACACAGTAAGAATCTACAGGAGGACAAACTTTTACCATACCACGCTGAGTGCAATTGCGTTATAACATTTCAAATATACAAAGCTCTGTTCTTTTTTTTTTTAATAACAATGGTATATACAGAATCAATCACAGTTTGGTGACTTCAACAGTCCATATTCTAGCAGAGTATTTCCCTTTGGTTTGATATAAAAACCTTGGTTGGTGTATGATAAAGAAGAGATCAAGAACAAGACGCCCCTTTGCTTTAAGTGCACTGTGTTAGCTATCTTACAGGCTCCCGTTGGCCTCTGGGCCCAGCCTTCCATCGAGGGCCCACAATGGGAGATCAACTAGAGCGCCAAAATGTTATTAAAAAAAAGAAAAAAAAAGGCTAAGGGAGGTGGTCAGGAGGAAGAGGGGTTGGGCTTTAAACATTTTTAACTTCGATCTCAGGAGTCTGGGAGAGAAACCTCCCCAATATTTTCAGTAAAGTGAGAGATAGGGAGAGTGGACAGCGAAGTTGGTGCGAGTTTGGCAGGGAAGGGGGGCAGGGGGGCTGGGACGGGTGGAGAGCAGAGGAGGTGCCCCGTCCCGTCTCATAGCGCCGAGGGGCTGCCGTGTCTGCGTCCAGGCTGCTGCTGCTGCTGCTGCTGCTGCTGCTGCTGCTGCTGCTGCTGCTGCTGCTGCTGCTGCTGCTGCTGCTGCTGCTGCTGCAAGGCGGCTGTACTCGCTCTCAGTGCCTTTTCCGGAGTGTGCTGGTCCTCTGATTCCATTTGGTCTTGAAGTGGTGCTGAGTGAGGTGACCTTTCGGGGGCGCGCGCGGGGCGAGGAGCGGCCTTTAGCACACCTCCTTGCCCGTGCTGGTGCCTGGCAGGATGTTGAGCTGCGTGAGCTGGGCGGCGTGCTCCTTGGCCTTGAGCCGCAGCGCCGCTATGCTGGACGCGCGTCTGTCTGCGGCCGCAGTGGCCGGGTCGGCCAGTGCGCCCGACGCCACCGCGCCCTCCACGGCTGGCGTGGGCTGTCTCAGGAGCGCGGCCGCGGTCGACGCGCTGGTCAGGGGAGCCATAGTGGAAAAGAGCCTGCAAGGAGAGCAAAGAGCGCGGTCACGGCCAGAGCCCCGAGCGGAGCGAGCAGAGGCGGAGTGAATCGGGAAGCGAGCGGCGCGGGCAGGCGAGCGCATGAGGCTGGGCGCGCGCAAAGGGCTTCGCCGGGGAGGAGGCGAACCGAAAGCCAGCCCAAGGGCCAGATATTTTCAGAGGAGCCGAGACTGGGATCGGGGAGCTGCAGCCAGGCCCCGCAAGTAGCCCAGATGGCCCAATCACGCGGATTCTGTGATTTCGCTTAAAAAGGGGTGAATGTCAAGGCCAAGGGTTCCAATTGCCTGAAATGCCATTTGCCCAGAGAGATGGAGAGACAGAGAAAAAGGGAGGAGAGAAAGAAAGCAGACAGGATAAAAACAACTCAAGACCTCAGCTGCTGACTTGGAACCCCCTCCCAGCCTGTTTGCGGCGGGACCGGCTGCTCACCACCGGTTGCCCTCCTGCTCAAGGTCCTCAGGACTTGGGGGGAAAGGTGGCTGCCTGTTGATTTATGCTTGGCTGATGTCTCTGACCCAACAACACAGACCCTGCCTCCAGGCATGGCGAGACCTCTAACCCACTGTCGTCTCTGTGCCTCTGCGGCTTTGTCTCAACCCTGAGCCTGAGAAGCAGCGCCTGCGTCATCACCTCAGCTAGCCTCCTGGCTTGCACAGCTGCACCCCAGTTCGCTCAGCTCCACTAGGGGACCCGAGGAGCAAAGGCCAGAACCACCTTGACCCTCTGGTCATCAAGCCTGCTCAGTTGTCTGGGCTGTGGGTGGGTTACAAGTCCCCACTTTAGCTGAAGAGCGCCTGCTGTGGTCCCCACCCTTTGCCCCTCTTCCAGCTTCCCAGAATCTCAGTCCCATGCTCCAGCTGTGCTTGCCGGCCTTTCCGAATCACTTGTCAGGGGAGGAATGCGGGGTGGGGGAGGCGAACATGGGCTTTTAGCCCCCCCCAAGTAAGGTGACCCAGAGGGGGAGTAACAATCCTTGGTGCCTTTAGGTAAACTGAGTCACTAACTACACCTCAATGTGTTGGCTGTTTATTTTATTGGCTTGTGACAAAAAAAAACAAACAAACACCCAAAAAACCCTATTCTTGTTTCTTCGAGTCTTTTTTCCCCCACCTTAATTTTCTCTAAGATGATTTTTGTTAAATGGCTGCGCAGTTGGATGAATCTATGATTTCTTTGTTCTCCCAAAGAGAGATCATTGAAGCTGCATTCAGTTTTATTTTCACTGCACTTTCCAACTTAATACATCTCTCCTTTGTTTCTTTGTCTATGTGATTATAACAGACTTTTTATTTCATCATTCGATGTTCATTTAAAGAAAGGAAGTTCTAATATACGATGAACTGTTTCTTTTATTTGCTTGTCTTGCTCCGCTGTGGGGGTCGGCGGTTGCACATAGGGGTTATCGTTGCAGCGGGTCACTTGAGTGACACGGAAGATAGTGTCTGGGGGGGAAAAAGAATTCCATGCACCCAAAGGGCCCTGTTGCCCAGAGCTCCCGTCCGGGATCAAGGCTAGGTCCTTCAGGCTGCCGGCCTTTGGGACAAAAGGAAGGATTTGGGGAAAACTTGAGAGGTTATCCTTGTTTTGGACTTTTTTTGTTGTTGTTGTTGTTGTTGAAAACATTTACCTGAATACCACGGGGTGGGGTGGGGAAAGGGTGGTGACTGCCAAAAAGCATCGTTTTTACAGTTTTCATTGAACAGTTGTTACTGCTCTCTCCCCAGTCCCAAGTCATTCCATGCCCATAAAGCGCCATATGGCTTGAGGCGAAGTTAGAGAGTGTTTTCTTTTGCTAAGTTTCTGATGTGCATAGCCCCTGCCCCCCATCCCCCCACCCTAGACTCTGCATGTGTTAGAGAGAGATTCCCGAGGCCTCGGGTTACCTGCCAAAGGCGGGGCTGATGAAGGCCGGGTGCCGGAACACTGCGGCTCCGAGGAAAGTGCTCAGGCCCAGCGGTGCCCCGCTGGGCGGCAGGCTGGCCGAGCCCGGGGGCGGCGGGAGGCTCGGGAAGGCGGCGGCGGCGGCGGCGGCGGCAGCGGTCCAGGCCGAATCGAGCGCTGGGTGGTGCGGAGGGAACGGGGTGGCGTCCAAGTAGGGGCTGAGCGGGTGGGTGGCCGAGAGCGGCCCGGGGAAGGGTAGTCCCGGAGGGTGGGTCTGCGCACCAGCCTTCTCCCGCTTGCGCCACTTGGCCCGGCGGTTCTGGAACCAGACCTACAAAGTGGAAAGACCCCGGGTTGGTCCTAGCCTCTCCGAGGGCCTCAGCCTCCCCATCCCTTCAACTTCAGGCACATCTGGAGCCAAAAGCGAAGGAAAAAGACTCAAACATAAAACCAGCATGGAACTGGGGCAACTAGCCCTTTCCGGTGGGTATTCCCACCAGGCCAGTTCATTTCCAAGTTTATGGAAAGTGGCCCTATTAGCATAGGGACCAGGTAAACCAAGGCTCTAAGGCTTGTGCTGCCGCTGGCCTGCTGTGAGCTTTTAGTAGTCACTTCAACTTCTCTGGGCCTCAGTTTTCTAATCTGTAAAGTGGGGGCACTAAAACTTTACTCATGGGTTGTTAGGGGGAGCGAGTGCAGTAAGCCCCCCACCCCGCTCAGTGGCAGCTCTGGACCCGGCAGCTACCGAGAGCTGAGTGACATTTTTTGCCGCCTATCAGCTATTTTCACCGATTTCAAAATGGGAAACGGCACACTGGTTCATTTCTTCTTTTCAGAAACATGCACTGAACACCTCCCAGCACTGTGGTTTTGGGAAAGGATGGGAGAGAGGGAATGCTCACAGGAATTAGAAGCTAAGCTTTGGTTCCCCAGGAAGTGAAGTATGGGGTACAGGCCTGTTCTGCGTGGGGGCTCCAGGCAGGACCTGATCTACACAGGAGCTCACTGACTGCATGGACATGGCATCCAGCAGTATCCTGGGCACGATGAGCTGAAGGCCAGAGGGCAAGGCACAAACAGACTGCAAACTTTCACAGCCAACAGGTTCTTGTTCTCCTCCGGGGATGGCATTAAATGGGTTTGTGAAAGAAGGTTGTTCTGGGCTTGGGGGAGTTTTCCAGCACAAGGGATCTTCCTAATTGTTAATTGAAAGGAGTTTTAGCAGAGACTTTTACCTGCGAGGTGGCAGCTACCATGCTCTAAAAATAACCCCTGCCAGCGTGAAATTATTTTGCTGTGACCCGCTCATCACACCCACCTATGAGACTATGCTTCTTCTCCCCCCCCCACCCCACCCCCCCGCCAGACATTCAGATCTTTAGCGCCGTGTCTAAAAATTAAGAATGAACTCCAGGGCAATACCCAGTGAGTTACATTAAAATAAACCCTCTTGGAGAGATGTTCCCCCTCCCACCTCCTTTTCCAAAGACATCCAGGTATTTAAAAGGGGCCAGGGGTGGTCCTTAGCACTACTAGCATCTGAGCTCACTTGGGCCTCTTTTAAACAACAAGAAAAACTGAGAATATCGTTTGATTAATTTCTCTTTTTTAAAAAAAAATCTGCTCAAGGCCCCCCCCCCCCGTAAATCACATTCCTCTTGGGAATTGCAGGAACACCTCACTCTAGCGTGGAAAGTTGGGGGCTTGGAAAAGTAAGACTATAGACTGGGTGTGGGCTGGGTGAGCAGCTTTTGTGTGTCCAGATTGCATAGGTCTAGACAAGAATATCAGTCACTCCTGGAAACTGGGGCCGTGGTGGGAGAATGCCCTTGAAAGCAAGGGGGACCTCGGACAGACGCCTCATCTCTCCCGGCCCAACTGCAATTATCAACATGTCCCCAAGCAGTTCCTCATTATTGAATTAATACGTCCTAGGCCCCCCAAGGTAAACGAATGGACTCTAATAATTCATATTGCCTTAATTACATCTTCCCCAGTGAATAGGGGGAGAGGAGAAGGGGAGGGGGGCGCTCTCTTTCTTTTTAAAAGTTATTTAACTTTCCCACGACTAGTTCCCCTGAGCTGAAAATGAGGAGTTGCTGTCACATCTCTGTTTGACAATGGAGAAATGTGTCAACAGAAAGGAGGGGACAGGCCTCATCATTAGCCCTCTAATGCAAGAAGCTGTTGTGTATTAAATGAGCCATATGGAATTTATTGTGCTTTATCAGCGCGTGATTTTGACTGTAAAGTGATTCACTCAGCTCCGAACCTGGGGACATCTGTTTTCTGTTGGCCATCGGCGCTGCCCAGTGTTGATCGTCTCTTTGGTTATGAGGCCTAGGTTTGGAAATGCACTCTGGTATGGGGCTGCAAACACCTTTAATAGCATTGCACTCCCTCCCTATTAGATCAATGTGGGCTCATTGCTATAAAAAATGGGAAATCAAATAGCATTAGCCAGCTCCTTGTGCAGGCGGAGGGGAAATCAAACAGCATTTTGCCTTCAAATGGCCCTGTTTGTTCTAGCACTAAGTGGGCTTTTATGAAGCCCGATTGGAGACTTAATCGCAGCCAAATACCTGCTTGGAGCTGAGCGGATTTGTCTAACAACCAAATCCATGCTCCATCCCATTATCTCAATCAGGAAAGTCAGGCTGTGGATTGTTTCCTATAGGGACTAGGGGGGGGCAGGGGGACTCCTGAACTGCAGTCTGGGGAACCCTAAAACCCCTGTTTTGACCTGGCCTTCCTCCTCAGGCTCCTAGACCTGAACAATTTCCCTCCACACACTTCCCAAGGTGATCCTCCCAGTCCTCTTGCTTTATGTCCTTTTGAGCCCTCGTTTGGAGCTATTTTTCTGCTTCTGCCTCTCTTCACTTTATGAAGGGTCTAGATCCTGGGAACACCCCCACCCACCCACCTAGACCCTGGATCCAGTCTTCTCTTCCCACTCACCCCTTACCACCTCTGCTATCAGCTCACCTGGACTCTGGCCTCCGTCAAGTCCAGTCTCATGGCCAGTTCCTCCCTATGAGAAAACAACATGCAGACGGGTGGTCACCACAGGCCCTGGCTGGCCCTTGAAACCCCCTCACCCTCCCTGTCAGAGTCTCTCCTGACTGCGTGCTGCGCACCCCAAACATGGGCACTAGCACCCTTCACCACCGGCTGCCTACTATTTGAGTGAGAGTGTGAAAAACTGTTATTAGTTCTGTTCTATTCCAGTGTGACAGGGGTGGCCTGTTGGGAGAACAAGTCGACAAAACTAGACACAAATTCTCCCTCTCCTAAACTAGAGTCAGACCAGAGACACACGCACAGAGCTTACACCCTGTTTTGTCTCCATGTTAGATGAAGGAAGAAATTAGCACTCAATTAAAAAAAAATCATTTTCCGGCTCCTTTCTGTTTTCTGCCCCTCCACTCTCTCCCCCTTTTCTCCTTCCCTTTCCAGCTCTCTGCCAGTCCTTCCATCTCTGCCCCTCTCCCGCCTGCCCCCCACCCCCCACAGGTCACACTCCCCATTACCCTCTGGAGATATGTTAAGCTTGTTAAGAGTTCAGTGGGGTAATTTTTCGATTAAACAAAATTCTGCGCACCGCACCGCCTGACTCCAGTGCCCACTGCAAAACCTGCCTATCTCAGGGGAAGTCAATTTAGCTGAAACCCTACCCCGTCATTGCCGTTATTACGGCAACAATTAAGGCAAATAGGAAACCATTAAGATGCTGTAAAATGGCTTACGACCTGTTTACCGAAAATATGAGCGCGTGGAGAATAATTGGCTCTCCCCTCGGTAATATGAAAGAGTAGGACTGCCCAGTCGCGTCTGGGACCCGGGTCTGCGCTGCTGCCGGGGGGCCTGTCCACCCCCTGAAACTTCAGGCCCCAGGAACCTCGGCTTTAACTTTCTTCTGCACAGGGAGGGCGGCCCTGCTGGCAGGCCTAGGACGCAAGCTGAGAGTCCCTGACCCCTGGGCCCCAGTGCCCCCGAAAGAAACTTAGACGCCAAAAGATACCAGCTTTTAAAATGCTCACTTGTGATGAATGCAAAAAGCCAGTCTGCTAAATAGCCAATGACAGTACACTCCAGTTTTAACGTTTTCTTTTTAAAAAGGGGGGTGGCAGCTAAGAAGGGGCTGTGTGAGAAGCTTGGTGCCTGCTTTAGCCTGGCCTGGCCCCACGGTCAATCCCTTTTTCCTGCTTCTGGTTGGGAGAGACTTTGGCAGCTGCAAGACCCGCTGCACTTTGGAGTTGGCTCGGGCCTTCTGTGCCCTAAGCAGAGATTTCTCCTGCGCTTCAAAGGGCTGGCAGCTTTCCGTTTCTAAAATGCACATTGAGAAGCTGTACACGTCTCCTGCGAAGAAAGCAAGCGCTGCCCAGCTTGAGGAGCTCGGCGCTCAGGAGACACTCCGCGCCCAGGAGAGGCTTGGTCCCTTTCTCCCTCCGCCCTGGGGCCTGAACTTTGGTGTTGGGGTGAGAGAGGAAGGCCCTCAGCCCAGGCCTGCACACCAAGGTCCCAGACATCTCGCAATCACTTGTCTCCCTGGAAAAAATGGGCTGAGAGAGCAGGAAGTGGAATGTGACCAGACCCAAAATCCTGGCTTGGCCACCCACCAGTGCCCCAGGACAATTTCCCAAACTGCTTCACCCATGTCCAACGGACCCCAAGGAGTCCTGGTGCACTCTGGAAAATAACTCACGTGTGATGCACTGTACACACCTGTGCGCGCGCACGTGTGCATGTGTGTGTGTGTGTGTGTGTGTGTAAGAGAGAGAGAGAGCGAGCACTTGGGAGTGGGACAGATACAAAGGGGGACAGCCTGGCTGGTGCCCCTCAGGGTCCCCAAGCCAAATGCGGCCCAGCTCCCAAGTCCTCTGAGTATTTCAGGAGTGTTCAAACAACGGGACTCTTTTTAAAGGCCTCCTTTACAGGCACCAGTGTCCAGCTTCACTGAGAAAAGCGTAACTGATACCCGACAGACTTCTGGGGCACCAGGCGGGGGTGGCTGGAACATAGCAAGGTGCCCAAAATAGCCGCTGTGTTGCCGCCTGGGCCAAGCGGGTGAGCCCAGCCCTGCGTGCGCACGCGCTGCTGTGCGCGCCTGTCCAAGACAGCGCGTTAGGCCACTCTGGGGAGAAGCTGTGTTGCTTTTTCTTGAACTAAAGCTTGTCATTTGGGAAAAAATAAAACTGGAGATGGACTGGGGAGGTAATGGCCCATCTCAGCCAAAACATAGGGCTAGGTGGTGCTGGAGGTGGAGAAATGGGAGTTTTGGGATGAGCAGAAGTAGGTGTGCTGCTGAGAGCGCCCTGAGAGTCCTGGAGTGAAGTCCCTAGGCCTGACACGGGCCCTGCCTGCCCGCCTTTCCCGGGCCATGCCCTGCGGCCGGCCCCCTGCGCTGGTACCTTGTGAAGACGTCGGGGTAGTGCGTCTTCTGGAAGGCCCGCTCCAGTTCCTCCAGCTGGTAGCTGGTGAACGTGGTGCGGTAGCGCCGCTGTTTGCGCTTCAGCAGCCCCTCCTCCGAGTCGCTGCCCGCAGACAGGCACACGCTGTCCTCGCCGTCCTTGCCCTCCGCGTCCTCTGGGTGCAGCAGCAGCTCCTCCTTGGGCGACAGCTCCCCGCCCTCCGCGGCCACAGCGGCGGCGGCGGCCACGGCGGCGG